TTTGAACGAGTCAAACGCCCACGTTGGCGTTCAGGACCCTAACTTCGCCTCTTAGAATTGAGACGCGGAGTTGGGTACCCGCAGGGCGTAGAAAAACGCGAGGGTCGACCTTGGCGTTTTTGCTGTTGTGACGCGGGGGTCGACCCTGGCGTTTTGATGTTGAAACGCGGGTTTCGACCCTGGCGTTTTTTGATGTTGAAATACGGGGAGGACCTCCGCGTCTTGCCTTGCAGAGATTATCACCAAGTAATCTCTTTTTGTCATAGCGTTGCAAAGATCATTGTCTTGTAATCTTCGTCTTGGCTCCTTGAGAATATGAGAGTCGTCAGATTGTAACTCCCGATGTTGATTGTGAATGTTGTTGAACTAGAGCTCTCATCGGTTGTCGTGAAGGTCGTTTGATTGTAACCTTCAGCGATCTACGTGAAAATCTTCAAATTGTAGCCTTCTGGAAGTCGTCAGATTGTAACTTCCATCATCGGTGTTTGATGGAGGATAAGCTATCTATTGTGATTTTTAGACAACCTACATGGAGAAACGCATGATAACTGGTTAAATCCAACCAAGATAAAAGGGTCACTGAATAACGAAGATGGTAGAAGTTCATTCATCATAGGTGAAACTTTAATGGGAATATGTGGGCTAACTTTGATTATTTTTAGTGCTTAACCTACACTATTGTAACACAAGTATCTGGTGTGAGATTTTTGAACAATAATATCTTCACCCAACTGTAGCATCATCAATTTTTGTTACTCAATGAGGCCAAGCAATCCCCTCCCTCTCTTTCTTCTCTTCTCAATCTTCTATAATTTTCAAACTCTAATGAGCCTGCAACACTGCCAAATTTCACTAAACTGATCTCCAGTAATAAAAAGTATTCATCGCACCATTTAGCATCACATTTTTTGTAGCTACCAAAAAAACTGGCATACTAATATTTCACCAAAAATATCAGCTTTCTCGAAAATTGGTTAGATTCTCGTCATTTTAACATCTTGCCCCTTCAAAACCCCCGGTTCAGATTCATAACTTAGGACCAAAAAAAAGCCCTATTTTTTTTCAAATAAATAAATGTATCGTAGTAATTGATTAAGCAAGACAGGATTAGGCCAAAAGGATATGGTTGTCTTACTTGTCCCAATTGATCTCGGTTTGATCCAATTCAACCTTAGCCGCCCTTCGATCCGCAATGATCTGATCGAGATCCCTCTCATCCTCCATCGAATTTCGTCGGAGGACGAGTTGTAGGAGTTGGTCGTCGGAGGGAGGCGATCGGTGCTGAACCCGGCTGAGGTTGGAGACGATGATGAGTTCTCGGGATCGACCATCGGGAGGCGAGACGACGACCTTGGCTGCTGCTGCTTCAGGGGTTCGAATTTTGGTTTTGGGGATCGGGTTGGCAAATGGGTGAATATAGACTGCCCATTTACTACCCATTTAGAATAGTTTGAAATGAACCCGCCCGATTAGACCCATTTAACTTAATGGGTGGGTTTTGGACGGGTCAATTGATGAGCGGGCTGGGTGGGTAAATGGGTATGGGTAAAATTTGACTTCCCTAGCTTGTTAGTTATAAAACATCAAAACATGTTAATAGTAGAACTCCTTTTAAAAGGGACAATATCTTATGTAATACAAGAAAGCAAAGGTCATATATATATTGAAGGTTCACAATCAAATATATATTTTTATTAACAGTATAAGTTTTACATGACAAGGACTCCTAACATAATTTCCTCTGCCGGCTAAGAACCTCAAGGAGTTTGCAAGGTTGCCACTTTGGCACTCTGTAGTTATACAATTATAATACAATAACTAAATCTCACACATATGGGTTCTAAACACATCTATATAGCGCACTCCAACAATCTTTGAACAGCAAAATACATTGCAATGAATGAGGTTGCTGGTTCACTGGAATCCACCCCATCTTGGGCTGTTGCTTCTGTTTGCTCCCTCTTGATCATAATAGCTCTCCTTATGGAACATGGCCTTCATCTCCTCACTAAGGTATGAGTTTTTTGTTCATTTTACAACAAGAAAAATAGAAGAGAAGTAGTTATTACCTCTCTTTATGTTCTAGTTATTCGAGAGAAGAAAAAGGAAGACCCTGAATCAAGCATTGTACCATATAAAGACAGGTTAGCTTATTTGACATGGAGATTATCCCCAGTGATCAGAGTTGTTATTTTTAGTCTAATTTATCGATGCTATTTGTATTTCTATTTGGTTGTAGAACTGAGGAATTTGGGCTTCATGTCTATGTCATTGACCATGGCCAAGCAACCAATCACAAAGATTTGCATATCAACAAGCTTGGCTAATTCCCTTCTTCCTTGTAAGAGGAAGATTGGGGAACATTTCATTTATGAAGACCAATACTGCCCAAACAAGGTAATTAATCATTTCTGAGGGGGAAAAAAAGAACTGAATCTTTGTAATTTTCTTTTATATGATTAACTATCGATTTTTTCCCCCTTGAACAGGGGAAGGTACCTCTTGTGTCTACTGCTGGAACTGAACAGCTGCAGGTATTAATCTTTGTGCTTGCAGGCTTCCATGTCCTCTCATCTCTTTTAACCTTTCTTCTTGGGGATGCCAAGGTAATAACTAATTTACATGGAAAGCATCTGGTTGCATAATTAGTGATTTGTGTGTTATGACCCACCTCATTATTGATCTCATGCATCTATCAGCTAAACAGATGGAGACCTTGGGAAGAAGAGACTAGAACTATGAAATTCCAGCTATCAAATGGTGAGTGAATATTTATCATGAGCATCTAGTTCTTTTGAAATGCAACATATTCAAATGTTAGGATGTCGAAAGAAACTACATTTCATGCTTTTGAAATGATTTTCTTTCACGTTTAGATCCCCGCAGGTTTAAACTCACACGCAAGACATCATTCGGGGAGAAACATCTTAAATCATGGAGCAACCATCCTCTTCTTCTGTGGCTTGTTAGTTATAAAACATCAAAACATGTTAATAGTAGAACTCTGGCGAATTTCAGATGCCCGTGCTAATTAATCTCCTCCTTTGCAGGTTTGTTTATTTAGACAATTCATTAGACCGGTGTCCAGAGCAGATTATTATGCACTTCGGCGAGGTTTTCTTGCAGTAAGGCATTTCTTGAACATGAAATTACTAAATAAGAACAGCTTACCTCCCATGATATGATGTTGTTTTGTTTAGTAGATACATTTCGACAAGGACTTCAAGTTTGATTTCCAAAAGTTTCTCAGTCGTTCTTTAGATCATGACTTTGCGGTAGTGGTAAGAATTAGGTAATCAATAGCAAAATCATAGAGTAACCTTGCATGGTTCAAGATGTTCCCTATTATAGTTTCAGGTTCCATAACTCTATACTCATCTTAACCCCTGATAAGTATTTCTCTTCTATATTTTTCTTTGTTTCATGCAGTCCGTGGATCTGGGTATATGCTATCCTCATGATTTTTTTCAATGCTTCCGGTAATTGATAATCAGACTGCATATATGGTTCTTAAAATGTCAAAATTTCGCACATAGCGAACTTATGTATAGCTATACTGCTTCAGAGATGCTGATCAATTTCCTATTCTTTTTTGTGCAGAATTCTACAACCATTACTGGCCTACTGTCATGCCTCTACTGGTGAGACTAACTCATTTCTACGGTTATTGACAAAAAAGGACAAGTTAGATGTAAGTTCTTGTCTGGTGCAAGATTGTTTTGGTTGTAGGAATGAAGCTAGAAGTAATCATCACTACAATGTGCCTTAAGGGCAGCCATGAGGCTGTAATTGTTCGCGGAGCAGTTTCAGTGAAGCCAGATGATAGCCTATTTTGGTTCGGTCAACCTCAATTGCTTCTTCACATCATTCAGTTTATCCTAGTACAGGTAAACTTTGAATATACTCATAATCAGAAGTATCTGTATAAAATGAAAGTTATAAAGAAATAGCTAAAAAGAGGTGCCATAAGCGAATGACATTCCAAATTCATAATCTCTTAAATTGTTTAACAACATGCATAAGCGAGATAGAAAAAGAAAAGTTTCCATAATTAGTATAAAAAGTCAAAATAAACAATGTACTTTAGTATAATCTTCAAAGTAACATAGACAGACAGAAGGTGATAGATATAGGGAGAGAATTACATGAAGACTTGTTTACCATGTCTTAATGGAGTTAATTTTTTGCAACGCAGAATTCATTTCATCTGGCATACTTTACTTGGTCAGCAGTGAGTATCTAATTAGACTTGTGTCAACGTAATGAATCTGCATACACCAATACTGACTCATACTAACAATTTACAGTACAGTTTTGGACTTCGATCTTGCTACCATAGAGATACCATTGGCATCATCTTTAGTATCGTGATAGGGATATTGGTGCAATTCTTGTGTGCATATATTACATTGCCCTTGTATGCATTGGTAGCTCAGGCAAGTTACTTAATCTCTCTCTCTCTAGTCCTTGAATTGGAAAGAATAACAAATCATTATTCATAAAATTGAATGATCACTTGATGCTGGCTAGATGGGCTCTTCAATGAAGGAACCAATATTCGCAGACCGAGTCATTGAAGGACTGAAAAATTGGCAGAGAGCAGCAAGAAAAAGTCTAGAAGAGAAGAAGAGCTACACGCTTTCAAGTCCTTCAACCAGTAGCACAGCTTCCTTAGCTACCCAAGATAATTCACTATCTACTCAGAGAAAGGATAAGGTAGAAGAGCTTAACACCCCATCAAGAACTAAAAGACCGAAAAGTGTCGAAGGGAAGACTATCTCTCCCTCGAGTCTTTCAGTAGAAAGACCCTTCCCTTTTCTGAGCCCTGGAGAAAGTTCTTCACCTAGCACGAGGAGGATTAATGCTCAAGAATTCAATTATCCATCAGATAGGATAGAACTTCTTGAGGTGCAAAAAGTAGTGGAAGAAATCATCCAATATGGAGACATTCCTTATACTGGTGACATCTCTTTTAAATTGTGGGGAACGAAAAGCAAGGAACCATGGCCAAGAAGTTGATGACAAGTTTCAGTGTTACTACATGCAATACAACCAAACGATAAAGGCTTATGAATGTTATGACAACTTTATCAAACTGTAAAGGCTTATGAATGTTATGACAACTTAAATATTTTTAACAGCAAACCAATTGAAATCCTTTACTTGACAATTCAGTAAAGCTTTTGGCAGTAACTAGATCAGAGAAAAGCAGAGTTTAAGTAATTGACTTTTCTTCAGAAGTTGAAGCATTTAAGCTTGCTTTATGTGTCCTAGCATTAGGAATTTGGCTCCCCTGTCTCTTCGGAACCATCCTTGGAATTGGTGTCGGACGATACGCTACATATTGTGACGGTTTATCCTTGTTTGGCAATATGTTGGAGCTTGACAGGCCTTTCCTCTTAAGCTTACTGATGGGCTTAGAAAAATGGGCAGCCCATAGTAAGTCATTGGCTACGTTACTCTATGTTCTAGTACCTTTGCTACTGCAATTTGGGGATTTCATTAGGACTAATAAGTTTAATTGGTGTCTAAGATTAGCATTTCTAATCCTCTTGTGATAGCACTCTGAGTTCATTTAACGCATGACTATCATCAACTTGGAATGATAACTTTAAATGCTAAAGTCATGAGTTTATTTATATGCATGGGCTCAGTTCACGGATGACATAAATAAATAATCAGCAACTTGATAAGTTACTTCCAGACAATCCCCAGATCCATCATCCTTAATGCTGGATAAAGTCTACCCCCCTAGATCTTGTGATGAGGACAATAATGACAAATTTCCATATTTGTTTATTTGACTTTTTTATTTTAGTTTTGAATAAGAAAGATTTGACAAGTTTAACTAGATCTTAATTTAATTTTAATTGCAAAAAATTTGAGGGATTTTTCTATTTTGGTAAGGTTTTTATTGAGAGATTTGACTATATCTTTTCTTTTTCTTTTTTTTTATTTCCATTTTTATTGCACGGTGTGTGCATGTAGTTTTTCTTTATAAATAAAGTTGTATGAGGCCATTGAGAATCAATGAAGATTTGAAAAAAAATTTTGGTTAGCTAATTGTTGGTGTGAAGCCTCACGGGTGTGAAAACCTAGGTCTGAACCTCCCTACTCCTTCTCCTCTTTCCTCAAATAGTCGACCCCTGCTCTCTTCCTCATCATCCTCCATAGCCACCGATTCCACCCTACTCTTCTCCTCCTCCACTGCCTCTGACACCCACTCGATTACCTCGTCTTGACGCCTACCCCCGTTCCCCAGTCCCTCTCGTCGGTTCCCAGCTCGACGTCGTCGCCTACGTCAATGCCCAGTTCGACGCCACCGCCCCGTCGCCCTCCTGATTCACGCCGTCGCGTGCATCATCACCCAATCAACGCCACCGCCCTCGAATTCTTCTTGCCGCCACCCTATTCCTCCGCATTGACGAGCACCTGAGCCCGATAGTGAGTCGTCGAACCCACCGAAGCACATTTGCAGAGTAACAGCCCGTGGGTTAGTTGTTGTGATAAATTTTTAAATTATTTTTCTGTTAATCTTATTTTATTAGTTAATTGCATGAGTATTTCATCTCTAAACTCTTATCATATATTCATTGTTTAGATTATATTTGTGAGTTGAGAGTAATTGAGTATGTGACTGTTAAAATTTGTTATTGATTGTAGAACTTGTGCATGATAATGAATATTGTAATTAAATTGAGTGAGATTGGAATTATTCATATATTGATTGTAGAACTTGTGCATGATAATGAATATTGTAATTAAATTGAGTGAGATTGGAATTATTCATAATTATTGATGCAAATTTTGTTAAATTAATGAATATTGTAATTAAATTGAGTGAGATTGGAATTATTCATAATTATTGATGCAAATTTTGTTAAATTCATCTGCCACATTAGTTGTTTTGAATTTAATTCCTGCCAAAGATCATAAAATCTGGTGAAACGATGTGTTATTTGATTTAAATCGCTGATTCTGATAGACCCCCTGTCCCATTTCACATCATTTTTGGTATCAGAGTATGGTTCTAGGTTAGGAATTTTTTTTAGTTTAATCTTTTATTTGTTATAAAAAAATTATTTACCATTCATCTCATTTAGTTGTTAGTGCATGCCCACTCGTACAAGTCTACTCTATCGATTAGGAGAGTCTAGTGGATCGTCTAGTGAGTCCACCAAATCTAGCCGGAGCAACGCTGGAAGAAGCTTGTCCTCAATGTTGTCAAGTTTTTCGAAGAAGAATACTATGCATCACCTTTTCTCAAGAAGACATGCATGTGAGGAACCCGAAACATGATAGACCATTATACTTCAGAGGGTAGATCGGCTCTATTCGGGTGGACAGAATTCAGGATGATCATGGTTCTGCTTTGAGCATCATTCCATTACGGCTCGTTCGTCACCTTGGAATTCCTCTGCATCGTTTATCAACGACGAGAACCACCATATATGGCTTCAATGCCTCTAATACTCGTCCCCTTGGTAAGATCAAACTCAAATGTCAGATGGGTGACTTGGGGACGGACGTTACCTGCTACGTCATCGACGCAGAGACATCTTACAACTTGTTACTAGGTCGACTATGGATCCATAACAATTTGATTGTTCCATCCACTCTACATCAATGCATGAAATATGTAAACGAGAGTGGTAAAGTAAAAACAGTGGTCGCAGAGAAGCAACCATTGAAGGGGGTAGAGAATTATTTCGCTGATTCTATCCATTATCTTGATGGTGAGCCATTTGAAGTACCACTGATCGAAGAACCGGATAGCGGTAATGAAGCCGATATCGAGTCTGAGCATGAACAGGGTCTTGTTTTTAATGACATAGAACCCGTCGTAATCAGTCTTTAATATCTGGATGTAAATGATCATGTCTATAAAGACAGCGGAGTTATCTTTAATAATATTGATTTAGCTTATTTCTCGCGTGTGGAATTAAATCCTAACATGCCAGGTACAAACGCTGATGTGATAGCGGATCCGCTATCCAAGTTATATGCTGAATCAAACTTGTACATGCCGATTCAGTCGTCTTTTATGACAAATCGACGACAAACCGAATCTTCGCAAGCAGTCTTTGTAGTACCGACTAAGGTTAACGGTCAAAAAGACATTATATTCGGAAAGAGTAATGGCCCGGTGCAAACCATTTTGGAGGAATCCGAAAAAGAGGAAAGGGATCCGTAATTCTCATACTTTACTCCAACAACTCAAAAGCTTATGAAGAATATGAGATATGATTTCATTCATAAACAGGGCTTAAATTTTGGCAGAGGGATCCGGACACCAATACGATCTGCGTATGTCCCGGAAGGAAAGCCAGAAGATTATTATCACAAAACTCGTAGTGGATTGGGTTATGAATCTCCACCGTTTATGCTGCGTTTCGGGACTAAAGGAGAGTCAGATGATGATTCTTTCACATTGTCTTCTGAATCCAATTGTTGGGAATCTGATACCAGTACAAGAGGTATATTCAAAGTACCCATGGCTAACATGACCTCAATTACTTTTGTTTGACGATCCATTAAGTCGACAGCTCGGTATACAGTGGGAACACCGTTTTGAACAACGCAAACCCTCTACTGATGACAAGGTGGTTCAGGTGAACATGGGAGATGAGATTAATCCAAAACCCATATTCATAAGTGATAGTTTATCACCAGAAGAGAAAGAAGACCTCATTACCCTAGTCCGAGAGTATATTGATGTCTTCGCTTGGAACTACGAGGATATGCCTGGGCTTGATCCCCAAGTGGCTATGCATCGATTAAATATTAAACCAGACATCAAGCTTGTTAAACAACAGCAAAGGCGATTTCAGCCCCAAATCATGGAAGCAATTGAAGCTGAAGTCAAAAAGCTCATCGAATCAGGATTTATCCGCGAAGAGCAACATCCTGATTGGGTGGTCAACATTGTCCCCATCCAAAAAAAATGGGAAGATTCAAGTGTGCATCGATGTTTGCGGTGAAAGTTGCTGTATTCATTGCTGCATTCATTACAACTTTAATCGTTACAATGAAATAAAAAGATAGCCTTTTTATAAGACAGGTACACAATGAAAACAAAAGAAATACAACTCTTTTCAAACAAACGCAAGATCTGTTTGTCATCTCTTGCTTGCGTGGGTCTTTTGCCTGTGACGGGGATGTTGATATCCGTGGACCACCGGGGCACTCAGATCTGGTCCGGATAAATCGGACAGAGTTTCGTTGATCCGCGTGAGATCTAGAAACTTTCTGATCCGGATAAATCGGACAGAGCTTCATTCGCTCTACTTAGTATCACCGCTAAGGGGCAACACTAAGGAAAATAGAAGAGGGAATGAAGAAGAAGGCTCCTTTGCTGCAGAAGGCTCGCTCACTCCTCGATCCGGCAGGGCTTCGCCTAGGCTCTCCAAAACTCCTCCTCTCCTCTCTCTAGCCTTGCTCCAAGACAAATAAATCCAGCCCTTTGAATGAGGACCCAAGGGGTCTATTTATAGGCCAAAAGGAGGGGGGGGTGGTAAAAGGACCACCAAGGGGTGCGGACACCCCTTGGTGTCTTGGCCGAGACACCCCTGGGGTGTCTTGGTCTTGCCAAGACACCCCTCGGGTGTTTCGAGCTTGCCGAGACTCCGTTTAGGAGTTTTGTTGGTCCCCCTGTATATTCTTCGTCCGGATTCGGATTTGAGTGATTCCGGGTGCGTTGGATGCGCGACGAAGAGTTTGATCCGTTCTGGTGATTGGATTATCTGTAGAGTGGTCGAGGCATGAAGGGCGTTGTCCTTTCTGTGAACAGTGCCGGGCTTCCCGATTGGTCCGGGTCTTCGTGATTCCGAAGTCCTATCCGCTCATGGAACTCGTCGATTCACTTCAGTCGTTCGTCGACGTCGATTAGGCTCATGTGGATTGGATGGTGACGTTCATCGTCGCTCGTTAACACTGAACTGGTTGTGGAGAACTATAGGCAATTTTTGATGCCTACAATCGACTTTCGTGACTTGAATTCGGCTTATCCTAAAGATGATTTTGCGTTACCTATCACAGACGTCGTTATTGACAATACGTGTGGGTTTGAGAGAATGTCCTTTATGGATGGATTCTCAGGGTTCAACCAAATCAAAATGTATCCTGATGATGAAAAGCATACGTCCTTTCGAACACCTTCAGGGATATACTGTTATACAG